TCAAGAATTAAATTAACAGATACCAAAATCACATTCGTAATAATTGCAGAGCTAATATTGGACATAAGAAATGACGACTGTAGCATTTGTTACGACAAGTGAGGAGAGGGAAGTGTGCCTTTAATTCGTATCAAACGACTGTTTACCTCAACTGTCATCATTTAGTATAATGAAATTCACCAACAAGCTGTTGATTCAGTTATAATCGGTTTGGAGATTCCTCTTAAATCAATATAAATCTCGATAACAGTTTAACGGCTAAGTAAATCGCAGTGACGTCACAGATGACGAAAGTCCATGCTGGACGATCACTGAGACGGGAGAAAGTTGCGGAAGTGCAGCCAAATACGTAAATAGCAAAACATTACCTCCTGCTTCACCCACTCAATCGTCTGAAGTTTGGGATTTCTGACTTGAGGATAGTGCGATGTCCTGGAGAGACCACTCATGACACTGAAATATGTAAGAAGTATTACGAATAGATATGATTAACATATATTATTTAAACTCACAGAAAATGAATCGATCGAATACAAAAGATTTAACCCCTCCTCTCTGCATGACAGAAATATTCTGATTGTTTAATTTTACAGCTTCCTCGTTCATACTGTACTCTAAGCAGTCAGAAACCCTTAAAACTAACATAAGTAACGTGGCGACAGACAACTCTGTTTGATTCCTCCGCTGGAATCGTTGGAGCGCGGCGATAGCAGCAAAAATTCCTCATCGGATTCGGTCTCTCACAAACCGATCGGATTCGCATTTGAGCAGGAGGAAACATAGCGATCGATTTCCAGCAGGAACCTCGTGGAGTTGATGAATTGAACGCTGAGGTTTGCGGGCGAGCGCACGCGCGCATTTATGTTATTCCTTCAACGACGGTCGATCAATAGTAGAGTTCGGAGCAGCACTTACTTAATAAGGTGTCTCCTCTGTAGTTGTCCGCATTAAAGAGAATTACGGATCGACGAGTACGTGCTGACGGACCGAACTCATCGAAAAACTGCAGCTGCAGTTCCGTGAATGCGTCTGTTCGACCGACGCTCTGAGACTCAGCCGTCTGGTCGACAAATGAGGTAGGTTTCCATAGGACAAAAACTGACCAGCCATCCATGCGCAACTATGCCTTTTAGCGACGTAAAAGGGCCGATGCCCGAGAAGGCAGTTATCATAGCCGACCGACTTAGACATGTCGCCGGATTTCGGTTGTTCAGCGACTCCTTGGTCGAAGACATATGTCGCAGAGGCACATTGGAGGAACTGGAACCGGGCATCGTTCGTAAGCACTCAGAAGTCCTTATTCGTGCTTCTGTCAGAAATGCCTACGTTGTGTTCAGTGTTTCGCCAAAGTACCCCTTGCAACAACTGGTACTTCCTGCTGTCCGGATCGCTGGACCTGGTCATCACTGCTGACCAGTCTGAATCGGTACGTACTTTGACATACGCACGGGCTAGACGGACGTGTGCCGCCGATTTGGTCGTGATTTATGACACGGAGATGACGACGAGTACACGATCGATCGGTCGATGGTCGTCGTCCTCGCTTGGTTGTCGGAAAAACCTCTCATGGTTGTGGCTGGCTGATCATCGTTGTGCCCATTTTTACATATTTTCCCTCTTACCTCTAACTCAACCCTTCAATGGGTGGTGAAGGTGAAATGCGTCCCTCCACATCTGTCTCGAAAAATGCGTTTTTCTGCTCCTCTTTTTAACCACGTTTTCGGCCCTCTTTATTGGTTTGAGTGCTTTCCATGTTGTTCTTGAAATTGGGAAATTTGATTTAGAGAAGTTTTTCTTGCAATGGTTTCTCGGCGGCAATTCTTTTGTTGAATTAGAAATTGAAGTAATTTCGTGACGTAATTTCTCGTAGCCCATTTTAAGCAGTAATCATGACCAACAGATCTGAACTAATCTGTTGAAGGATGATTTCATATTTTAAGGTCTTAACGAATTTAATATTATCCTTTCGTAGTGCCATATCCGCCGGTTAGCGTAGGATACCAGTATGTTTCTTGAGTGTTCTACAGAACGATATTATTACAAGAGGAGGAAAAATATTTCGATCTGTTTAATGCAGATTTGCAGCTCCATTTTATAGAATCAGTCAGACAAAGTATAGACCCGATGTTTTGGTAGCCTTACAATTCCTCGGGTATTGCAGTATCATCAACCGTTTTTGATCCATTTGTGGATAAAGGACTCTCACAGAATTTGCAATAATCTCTTGTTTACGCTACTCCTATTCACTTTAATTTATGAACTCCCTCAGTTTATCGTGCCATTCAGCTGGAAGTCCTCCAAAAGCCGCTTACTCTCTCATGGAACCAATTCTAGTGTTTCTCTGGTCAAGCGATGGTCGCTTTTTGTTATGCAACCTGTTCTGGTGATTGCCACTATAAATTCGTTACTTGGTCAATGAAATAGCAGGCATTCATTTGTATTCGTACCGATTCATTCTTTTTCCCGTCTTTTTTTCATTCCCAACATACGTCTTTCGGTGCTGCGTCGCGGAGCGTGTAGCAGATGAATGGCTTTCAGCCGTACGGTCGGCGGTTCGCACTCACAGGATCAGGTGCTTTTCGTTTCATGTACCACAAGTGCAAACACCGGAAAAAGAGCATCTTAATCTTCCAAAAGTTAACCATGAAATTTTTGTTTTTTGTATGACTTTCACAGTAGGTTTTCAGTGCAGAGATCAGTCTAAAATTAAGTCCATTGACTTAAACAGGCAGGACGTCAAATATTTGTTACACATGACTTGAGTATTCTTCAAATTCATTCTCAGCCTTACTTTGATGCTAGCATCTTTCAGTGCTTAGGTAATAGTTGGATATCTCCTGTGGACCTTGAGAGGATGATGATGCAGTCTGCAAACGGTATATAACTTAGGTAGCGCCCATTTTTCTCGGTGTGTCATGAAAACCTTTTTATGGCTGCCGTGAATGACTTCGGTGATATTGCATCACAGTTTCAACGTCCATTTTCGATACTGAAGTCGCCTGTGCTTTTCGGTAGTTTCACCATAGCATTTGCACTATTGTAAATGATACAGATAAAATGAAATATGGTTACGGTCTCTGTATCTTTTTATTCCGCAAATAAATATTAAATTTCTATTTTAATATTGGATTTACCCGGCCTATGCGCACTGACTACTTGTTTCTAATCGACTAGCGATGCAGTGAATCAGGCCACGGTTCCATAGTATTTAAGCTCCTGCAGTGTGTCGGATTCAAGAGGGCATTTCTAGAATAGTCTAAACAAGAGCATGTTCGAGCAGCAAAAAATTTGCCACTACCTGTGGGCGAATATGTAGATAAAAATTTTACTACCTTTCTGTTCCATGACAGTCTAATTCAGAAATCTCATTTATGAACTCTGGCATACAAACATGCTATAAATGACAAAAAACTTTTAAACCATTTATTATAAAAATTATGCTAGCGCTGACATCTTAAAAGCATAAAAATTATCGAATTTCGGTGTGTCCGTTTCTTCCTGCCAGAAAACAACGAAATGCATGAACATCCTTGTTGTTATAGCCAAATTATAAAACAGAACGAATGAAAATTAATTGCAACTGACAAAAGCAACACATTTTCTTCTATCCAAATTATGTAAGATGTTCGATAGCTATCCACCTTATGTTAGAGGGAGAGATAGCTTGACAGCGATTACGCATTTCCTCATTTCTAAATCTTACTCTGTCATCGTAATTTGAATCCCTCTCCATTCTGGCCAATGAGTCGCTGTGCTGTAATCAGAGTGCTGAAAACATTGCTTAAATGTTTGAACTTAGCTAAGGAAAAAGTAGATGGGTTTATCTCGGTGGGTGATTAATTTGATTGTCAAAAACAGAGCTTTAAAAGCAAAACATGGTCCAGTCGATCCTGGCTACTATGCTACCTTAATCTGAAAGTTCCATGGTTCAGGACATTGTTTAAGAATAATGAAAATTTACTCAGTTCCATTATATTTTATATCTTGGGATCACCTGCTTTGGTCGTTGGAAACCAATGACAGATTTGTGAATGATGCCTATTGGTTAGCATTTGCAAGAAAAGGACGAAAAATTGATGGTGGAAAAAAAGCACATGAAGGGCAGGTCGTAAATCTTGAAAATTCACACTTAAATGTAGAATGCGCTACAAGGGACGAATGTCTGGATTACCATAGGTGGTTGTCGAATGACTTTAGAACATCTTGAAATCTTTAGGACATATTGATTATGTACAAAGTCTTCATCAACATCGCTGCCATCACTATCATTATCATAATCGTATCATCGTGGTAATCTTTTCTATGGTGGGGGCAGAATGGCTAGGAGGTCGGCTTTGAACTCCAGAGGTGACGAGCTCGAAACCGCTCAAGGAAAAACCTTTCTGTTTCACCGCGAATTCTTTTGAACAATGAATTAAGCTGATATTGCTTCAGTACAACCGGTCATGGAACGGATCGTAAATGGGGAGACTTGCAAATGAATAGCGACAGCATGGTATTCTGCCAGAATAAACGAGGCTTACGGCCATGGTTTTCGAAACGAGCACCTCCCCTGTGACTGCATTTCGCCTTGACCCTCCTAATGGCCGACTACCCGGTGTATTAATAATAACCATAAGGCATAACCCATGTAACGACTTTTATAATATGTTGTCATCTGCTGTTCAGCGAGACTTGACGTATTACCTTGCATCACGTTTTTCGATTGCATGAAATTCTGGGGCGAATTGTTGTTATTAAGAACATAATCATTGCTGATAACCGTACTGCATCTACGCAGGAGATGATTTATTTCTGGCATTTCCATAAAGGACATTCTTCCAAGAGCAGTAAAAAATGCCGTCAATCAATTTCTTTCATAAATGCCATATGCATGAGGCAGAACGACCTTTACAGGAAAGGTTATTTCATCCAAAGCTCATGCTGACCGAGGTACAAATGTCACGCCAACAATTAGTGCTCTTTCCTGTCCATTCGCTGACACACAGAAGCCAGTGATAAGAATACAGGTTAGCAATTAGCGTTAAGACCTGGCAAGCTTCAGTGAACCGTTTGTGAGTCTGTAATCACGACAGATTGCTCACTGCCAATCGATGACCGATACAACGGTCATTGCCATTAATCCTTAGTGTAGTGAATATGAGGTTTGCAATAAATTATTTTCGTGTTACTCTCGCAGAGAGTGGATAAACACTAAAGCATCGAACTGCATGATAAGAAGAAATACAGTAAGGTTTATAACCTTTAGCAGCGAGGAAACGACGAAGACCTCTCATCAGTAAGGAACTGTTCGGCTAAAAGAGCGATGCCAACTGGAGGCAGTGGCAAAGCTCCTTTGAGCATTCAGACAGCTGTGTTTCGGAAAACGCCCACACGCTCTGCAACTCTCAGCAGCAAGATGAGAATCCAAGGTTGCCACTGATTCAACAGAAAGAATGGGCAAATATTTTCCGCAGCGCGGTTGATACCCTGAATTGAAGACAACGAATTTCATGATAGGAGAACGGAATGACAGGATAGTAGCCTATGAATTATATGGGAGAATGAAAGAAAATTTCATCATTTACGTCCTTCAACTCTTTAGCAATGCAATGCTGGAATCGTCGACTTGATACGTCTCCGGTGGAGGAGGTTCATTGTTTTTGCTACAAAATCCTTTGAGAAAAGAACTTACCACGCCTTGCATTAGACAGGGGTTGCTCAGTCGGTGGAGGGTCCAACTCAGAACCGAGAGGCTCCGGGATTAAGCTCTGCTTGAGCCACTCGCTTTTCCTGCTTTCAAGATTGAAGATGGGTATCAGGAAGGTACAACCTATGCCTGCCACGTAGATGCCGTCGATTCTGCCTTTAATAAACTCTCCTGGCTTACGGCAAGGAAATACAGATTATCGCCTCATTATTAACTTAAGAACGAGGGGCCAGAAACGGCCTCATCGTGAAAGCAAAGACATGCAGACATTACAGTGATTATGTGCTTTCCTTTTTCCATTCATCCATCCCACATATCATTTATATGAAGTTCTCATTCCATTTGAAAGTGATCACTTTACAACTGCAAATGTTTGATCTCGCTGCTAGTGTAATGTTGTATGAAGACTTTGTTCCTCTGAGAATTCTACCCGCCCACCTTTCGTAACATTTCATTAATAAAGCAACTGCCAATGATTCATTCTTAGTCACTGATTGACTAAAAAAAGAAAAGTAGTCGGTTAAACCAAATTAAGGACAAACAGAACCCGCTAACACCCTTGGGTAACTAATGAAGCTAATTAATTCCAGTGCCTCCAGTAAATTCATGCTGCAGCGGCGTTAGTGTTTCATCAAGTTTGCATTATTCAGACGTCATCCATCTTCCACATGCTGCTTTAATTGTTTCCTATAGAGAAATAAAAAAATTACCCCTTGAAAAAAAGTGCGTGCGGAAACTAGACTCATTGTTTAATACCTTCGGAACTAAGTTGACAATAGAACTGAAGAGTGAATCGTACATTTCTGGTTTTTCACTGCCGTTTGTTTCTTTTTATTCAGTTTGACCAACACAGTAGAACCGAATCTGATGAAGGTTAAGGAATGTGAAGAGAAAAGTGAATTGGAAAGATGAAGAGAAACAGAATGAAGAAGCATGAGGAAAATAGAAAGAAGATAAAGAAG